TCTCTCTCTCTCTCTCTCTCTCTCTCTCTCTCTTTCCTCACAATATTCTCCACTGTCACAGCGTTGTAGGGCTTGTTTCCAGACAGGTCCAGGCGCTCCCCACTCCGCAGGCCCCAGCCCACTCGGCCCAACCGCTCAAACACCCTCCGGCGGATGACCTCTGACCTCGGCGACCTGACCCCAGCCGACCGATCGCGTCCCTCTCCACGCCTCCGCCCCGCTTCCCCCCACTGAAGCTGCGTAGTAATTGTAGCGTGTGCAAAGGTCACGTGACATTATTTACTTCTGCGGCTTGTTCGGCTGACAAGAGATGGCACTAGTGGTCTGTGGATCAGAGGCGGGGCTAGGTTCTACGACTTCTTGGGGCACACTTTAGGGCAGAAAAGAGGTTTTTTGGCTCCCCATCCCAAAATGCTTCGAATATACAAAAACAAGGTAGATATTCGAAAATCGGAGGACCAAACGGATCGTTTGACGTATCTTGCGCGACTGACAATTGATCGGTCTTCAAACTACTGAACAAAAACGAGGTGATTAGTAGCAAGTGCTGGTGACTGTACGCCGCAGCCCGCGTCTCCGGTCGGCGACTGACCCGCGCCGGGCCACCTGATCCCCGGCCGCCGCGCCGGCTGCACCGCATAGCGCGTCCGGCGCGTCCCCGACACTACCGATAAGTTAGAACGCTCCTACCTATTTTTACTTTGCTTTAAAAAGTATATTGGGAATGTGAGCTTATCTATATAAAGTTGGCGTACTGTGCCTGCTGGTGGCGGGGGGGGGGGGGGGGGCAGTTCCGATAAGGAGACGTAGGGCGGAGGCAAAGATGAAGGAGAGGGACAGTAACTGGTGGCCACAATGCGCTATACTTGTCACCTCTCTTTGGACGTCACAGCTCCGAGGTCCTAAAAAAATTGTGTTTTTAGCAATCGCATCTCGATAACGTGACCTATACATTTCGATGAAAATTGGTCACCTTAATTGTATGCAGTCCGTGAATATTAACAGGTTGTTGTCTGTTGATGCTGATATGAGCGTTCCTTTCAAGGCAGGACAATCCGACAATTACACAATTGCCTCTCGTTCCAACTTCCACCTATCTAAAAGAAACGACGCGCTCTACTATTGTACCAATTGTACCATACAATACGCTTGAACTATAACAAAAGTGTGAAATCGCTTATACGTATAGAACCCGTGACGGAATCAATTGATGAGAAACGTCTCCCTACACAATATAGGAAATTTGAACAAGCGAACCTTTCGTATCGATAACATTCCGGGTTACTATATTTGTTGAAATAATTCTAGTAAACTGCGCCTGGGACAGCCAGTTGTCTCGAAGGATCATGTAACGCTGCCTCATGACAACCTTACGATGCGAGCGAGCTCCCACCTAGCACGTAAGTGTCAACGGATGTGTGTCAGATTTCAGCCAAGCATGCCCGTGTGACCAGCTGAGCCGCGGTTGCGGGCCATGGTCCATGGTCCTTTTGACTTTTTGGACTTTGACTATATGTCTTTCTGACTTTTTGACCTTTTGACTTTTTATTTTGACTTCATGCCCGGTTGACTTGTTTTTTGACTTTTTGTCCTTTTGACTTTCTGTCCTTTTGGTTTTTTGGATTTTGACTTAATGTCCTGTTCACTTTTTGTCTTTCGACTTTTGTCCTTTTTACTTTTTGGCAATTTGACTTTTTTCCGTTTTTACTTTTTGTCTTTTGACCTTATGTCCATTTGACTTTTTGTCTTTTGACTTCTATGCTAGTTGACTTTTTGTTCATTGACTTTTTGGCTATTTCACTTTTTATCTTTTGACGTTTTATCCTTTTTGACTTTTTGCCTTTTGACTTTCCTCTTTGTTAACATTTTACCTGTTGACTTTTAAGATTTTTGACTTCTTGCTTTTGACGTAATGTCTGTTGACTAATCATCCTTTTACCTTTTATCATTTGACTTTTTGTCCGGAACCCGAGCCAAACGGTGTGTCTATGCGTTTGTTGCGTGCGTCTCCAAGGTGTTCATTGAATCGCTTCCTTATCGAGCGTCTGCTTTCACCGATGTAAAAGGACTGGCCCTCGGGGCACAAAGAACAATCAATCCTGTAGATGGTGTTTTTGAAGTGGCACTTCCCTGCAAGCCCTGCACAGTGCACAGCATGTGTTGCAGCGCCTACCTCCACCTGGACAGGCAGGAGGACTGAAGGCTGATTTAATCAGCTTCTGGCCGACAGTCTCGCCGCCTTTCCAGGCCACCTGAAAGGCAATTTCACTGCGCCTCACGATGCCTTGCACTATGTGGCACAATTTATCGTCAACGAATGGCAGAACGAGTGGGGTTTTGTAGGCTCTAACCTGATCGTGCTGACCTCGTGTGCCTGTGTCTGTCCTGTTATGTGTTTTGGTGGCCTCCTGCAGTGCTCTGTGAAGTGTGGCTCGTGGGTAGCCGTTTGATTGGAACAGGTCATCTACCTTATGGAGGCTGCGCTCGGTGGGGTCCCCTGGTGACGATAGTCTCAGAGCTCGCAGGTATTGGGACCTAGCTGTTGCACGTTTTACAGACATAGGCTGTGCCGAGTTGAAGTGCAGAATGACGTTGGCTGACATGGGTTTGATGTACAGTTCGGTGGTGTACTGCCCTGTTTCAGATATTTTGATGAGGGTGTCCAGGAAAGAGAGGGCCCCTGTGTCGGCCGTATGTTCCAAAGTGAACTTTATTGATGGGTGGACGCTGTTTAGGTACTCAAAATAGTCAAGTAAGCTAGGGAGCCCGTGATTCCACACGCCAAACACATCATCAATATAACGTAGGTATAGAGATGGCTGAGCTCTCGCTGAGCTTAGGAACATAGACTCAAGCATGTGCATGAAAGTGACTGCCAGCGGTGGAGCTACTCGACTACCCATTGCTATCCCGGTCTGCTGTCTGAAGTATTGTGACCCGAAACGCACGAAGTTCTGTGTGAGACAATGTTGTGACAATGTTGACAATGCTGGCAGTCACTTTCATGCACATGCTTGAGTCTATGTTCCTAAGCTCAGCGAGAGCTCAGCCATCTCTATACCTACGTTATATTGATGATGTGTTTGGCGTATGGAATCACGGGCTCCCTAGCTTACTTGACTATTTTGAGTACCTAAACAGCGTCCACCCATCAATAAAGTTCACTTTGGAACATACGGCCGACACAGGGGCCCTCTCTTTCCTGGACACCCTCATCAATATCTGAAACAGGGCAGTACACCACCGAACTGTACATCAAACCCATGTCAGCCAACGTCATTCTGCACTTCAACTCGGCACAGCCTATGTCTGTAAAACGTGCAACAGCTAGGTCCCAATACCTGCGGGCTCTGAGACTATCGTCACCAGGGGACCCCACCGAGCGCAGCCTCCATAAGGTAGATGACCTGTTCCAATCAAACGGCTACCCACGAGCCACACTTCACAGAGCACTTTAAAATGTGAGAGCGCCATCGGCCCCCACGGTGGTCGTGTTTGAAGTGCTCCGTTCTTTTCCCCCTTTTTAATGAGAAAGGTACGGACTTCGATCGTTTGTTGTGTCCGTGACACGCAGTGGTGATCCAGACGTGCGGTGGACTCAGTAGGACCTCTACATCAAGCAATTGTAGCCTCCAGGCGGGTTCTTAGCCGCCGGTTGCATGCAGGGTGACCCCGACACAATGGCGGCGCCGAGCCCTGCACCAGCCTGCCTGGGGGGCGACGAATGAACTGGAATCGGCGACCGATAGCCCTCCAGCGTCTGTGGTCCAGTCATTATCTGCTCTGACTCTCACCCGGTCAGCCCGGGTTCGATCCTCGGTTGAGGTGGACGTGGGCCGCAGACAGTTTTTCTTGCTGCTGCTGTCTCTGCTCCTCAGCGGTGCTCAGCTGCCCGCAGAGCTCACAGCAGGGCTGGTAAAGTGTTATGTCCTATTGACGTCGTCGGGGACACAGTACCAGTAAAAGTTCAAGTACCCGGGGTTAAAAATTACCACATTTAGTAAACTTTTACAGTAATAAATAACTTTCAAATAAAGCAGAAACTAAACGCAAGGTAAAAGATATCATTGAATCCACAACGTATATCCCCTTTAACAAGGACATAAAAAGCCCCTATACCTAATACATACCTACAACATGGGTATGAACAATTAGTAGCCACAACTCACTTAAAAAAAAAAACACAACTCACTTCAGCAAAACTACCGTCGACAGTTGCTAACGAAAACTAGATCAAACTAGATGATCAAACACATACTAACAGACGCTTAGACACCGACCCCGCTGTCGGCTGTGCTTTTTCAAGCGGGGTTGATTGACGACCAGTTGTAGCCAGCTATACGACTAGACAAACGACTAGATATTCATGCGGGGTCGATAGTTTCTAGCCGTCGTCGTTGTGAGCTACCGATACAATAGCGACACCTATTGCATCTGTTCGACGATCGTAGCGCCCTCTACCCTTTCCGGGTTCTTCGTCTGTTACGCTGCCCGCTGACCGAGTGATGCCGTGACATTTAATTAACAAACTGGAAATTTCGAAGCGCGAGTCTGATAAGCAATTTAGTACATATGACTGCTCGTAAAAAAATAATATAGAAATGAAACCTAAGGAAACGCGCATCGTAGTTGCATGCAGCCTGCATACATGAATCGTAAAAAGGTCGGGGTCATTTTTCGCCCTCATTTTTGGTCGGGGACGCATTTTGCTTTTTTACCAGCCCTGGCTCACAGGACAGCCGGCCGCGTCGGTCCCCGGCTGCTGTTTTGCTTCGCCGGCCGCCACCTGTAGAGGGATTCCACAGTTCCGACGGACGGGCAACTTCTTCCGTGCCAGATGTCGATACTACGCCAATGCAGATGCATCTTTCCAGACGTGCCGCTTGATATTAGCTGGCGACGTCGAGCTGAACCCTGGGCCCGAGCAGCATCGGCGCGCGCTCACCGTCCGCTGTCAGAATGTGCGCAGTGTGCGCAACAAGCTACACACGCTGTGAGCCATGGCGCCCGATCTGAGCGCCCAGGACGCGTTCTGCATGACGGAGACTTGGTTATCAGCCGACGTCGCCGACTCCGAACTGCAGCTGGGCTGGGACCAACACACCTGGATACGACGGGACCGCCCTACACACGGCGGAGGCGTCGCTTGTGCAGTCAAAACCCAGCTGCACCCGACCCGGCGACGCGACCTGGAGCCTGACACCGCAGAAGTACTGGTGGTACAGGTCGGCACTAACCGTCCCACTTATTTGGCAGTCTGTTATCGGCCTCCCGACCTGGACGACGATTTAACCGCGATCTTCGAGTGTCTCGCCAAGTTGCGCGCCACTATAGACCTGTCATTGTCTGTGGCGATTTTAACCTGCCGGAACTGCAGTGACCAGCCGGAGAGGATCCTGTTATACGAGTGAGATCCGCCCGAGCTGTACAATTCGTTGAGAATCTGAACATCAACGGACTTACTCAATCTGTGCACGCTCCCACAAGGAACGATGCTGTGCTAGATTTGGTGCTCTCGTGGGGTGGGGACATCGATACGACTGTGGGTGAGGGTGTGTTTGAATCGGATCACCTAGAGACATGCTCTCGATTTATCGTGCAACTGTCAGCCGTTCCTCGGGTCACCAGAACCTCTGGATTTAACTATCGAGCCGCTGATTTTAACCAGTTACGTGCCGCTCTTAGATGTCTTCCGTGGTCTATTTTGAATGATTTAGAAGTAGACTCGGCCGCTGAACTCTTCTATGACTTGTTGAACGCTGCTATTGCTGACTATGTGCCAACCGTGACGCGATCTCGCCGCCTCCCGCCGTGGTTTGACAGGGACGTGTGTTGTGCTTTGAGAGAGAAGGACCATGCCCATCGCCTGAAAAATCCCAACCCTCTCCTGAGCATGACCTTGCCTTCTCCAGAGCCAGATCTGATTTTAAACGTGTCGCAGACTCCAAATATCGCGACTACCTACTGAGCCTCGTCCGTGATTTCCGTGATAATCCTAAACGCTTCTGGTCCTTCATCAAAACTCTCAAGTCATCCTCCCATCGCCCAGCTACCCTGATTCACAACGGTCAATCCTACTCCAAAGCATCTGACTGCGCCAACATTTTTAACGACACTTTTGGATCCAAGTTTAGTGAACCCCAAGTAGACGGCCTACCTGATGCTCCTGTCTTTCCTTCTCCTATCCTAGACCAATTCATTATTCCACCTGGCAAAGTTCACTCGCTGCTTCTCAGCATTAGTAAGCACAAGGCCTGTGGTCCAGACGGGCTCAGCGCTCGTATTATCCACGAGTGCGCCACAGAGTTGGCCGTCCCCCTTGAAATTCTTTGCAGGCTCTCCGTTTCTCAGGCTGTCTTCCCCAAGGTCTGGAAAGACGCCAACGTTATCCCCATCCACAAAAAAGGCGACAAAAAGAATCCTAATAACTATCGCGGTATCTCCCTTCTCCCCCTCTGCTCCAAGGTCCTGGAGAGAGTCGTCTGTGACACCCTGCTGGCCCACGTTCTCCCGTCCTTACCTTCCAGTCAGCATGGCTTCCTTCCCAACCGATCCTGTTCATCCAACCTCAGCGTGTTCCTCAAACACAGCTGGGACTCCATCCAGGCTGGTGCTCAAACTGACTCCATTTATACTGATTATTCCTCTGCCTTCACCAGTGTCAACCACATCCTACTCCTCCACAAGCTCCAAACATCCTTCAACGTCACTGGGCGCGCTCTATCCTGGATCAGGTCCTACCTAACCAACCGTCGTCAGAGAGTGGTGCTAGACGGCATGTGCTCTGACTGGGCTCCTGTCAGATCCGGCGTGCCGGAAGGGAGTGTCTGTGGTCCCCTCTTGTTCATCTGTCTTACCGCCGACCTGCCCACCCTTATCCAAACCAACTGTATCATGTACGCAGACGACATCAAACTCTACCACCGCATCACCTCCCACTCTGACACAGAACTGCTCCAGGCCGACCTCAACCGTCTCTCCACCTGGTCTGCTGCATGGCGTCTAAAATTAAATCCTACCAAATGTCATGTCATCTCCTTCTCCCTACGAAAATCTCCCATCCTAGCCACATACACTCTAGATGGCACTACCCTACAGCGCCGATCCGAAGTCCGAGACCTAGGAGTAATCCTCGACTCCAAGCTTACGTTTGCCGCCCACGTTGACCAGACTGTTGCCAAGGCAAACCGAATGTTAGGACTGATTATCCGTAGTATGCAACTGTCTCGACGCTACAGCAGAGCCGCCTTTGATCACAAAACCATGTTGTGTACGTACTACGCTCATGTGCGTTCAATCATCGAGTATGGCTGTGTCATATGGGCTGGAGCGGCTGCATCTCACCTGACAAGGCTCGAGCGAGTGCAGCACAAGTTTCTGATGTGGTTAGCTCGTTACTCTGACAGGCGCTCTGACGACCTGGACTACTTGGTTTTACTCTCACATTTTAAAGTGCGCTCCATCAAGTCTAGATTCATACAGTACGATATCATGTTTTTATTCCACATTCATCGTGGGAAGCTGGACAATGATGTGTTAGTCGGTGCGTTCGGTCTTGCCGTACCGGCACGGAGGACGAGGAGCACGGTTCTGTGGAACATACCGCGCGCGCGAGTGAACACTGTGCAACGATGTTTGTTTGTCAGGATCCCAGCTGCATGCAACTCATTCTTGCTCCATGACCCGACCACCGACTTCTTTACTGGTAGTTCATACTCATTTAAAACACGCGCTATCGGCTTCACAATTACGCAAGGCACTTTCATGTGATCTTTTACATCATACTCACGTGCTTTACTTTTATCGATCTTGTTTTATCGAACGTTTATTCTTATGTAGGTACTGTCATCATGTGTATTGCTTGTGTGTAACTGACTTCGTCAGTAAAAGGGCGATGGGCCTGTTGGCGATCTAATAAATACAGAAATACAGAAATACAGAGCACGGCAGGAGGCCACCAAAACACATAACAGGACAGACACAGGCACAAGAGGTCAGCACGATCAGGTTAGAGCCTACAAAACCCCACTCGTTCTGCCATTCGTTGACGATAAATTGTGCCACATAGTGCAAGGCATCGTGAGGCGCAGTGAAATTGCCTTTCAGGTGGCCTGGAAAGGCGGCGAGACTGTCGGCCAGAAGCTGATTAAATCAGCCTTCAGTCCTCCTGCCTGTCCAGGTGGAGGTAGGCGCTGCAACACATGCTGTGCACTGTGCAGGGCTTGCAGGGAAGTGCCACTTCAAAAACACCATCTACAGGATTGATTGTTCTTTGTGCCCCGAGGGCCAGTCCTTTTACATCGGTGAAAGCAGACGCTCGATAAGGAAGCGATTCAATGAACACCTTGGAGACGCACGCAACAAACGCATAGACACACCGTTTGGCTCTCATCAAAACCAACACCTACACACCCCTCTGACATGCAACAACCTGAAACTGAGCATTCTGGCTCGCGCCAAGGATGGTCCCGACAGAAAAATAAAATAGTCCATGTACACTCGGGGGCAGATTGATGTTCCACCACTCCCTACCTATTGGGCTCCCATGGCTCAGCACTGGCTGCTGCCAGTGGCAGCACTGGCAGCACTGGCATTGGCAGGCAGTGCTGAGCAGTGCTGAGGGCAGGCAACACCGGCAGCAGCCAGTGCTGAACCATGGGAGCCCGATGGGTAGGGAGTGGTGGAACATCAATCTGCCCCCGAGTGTACATCAGAGACCAGAGACCTACACTTAACACCCAGACTACCTCGTGGCCGCTGACACGGCTGCAGCCTTAGAATGATATACATATGTATATACTGTACGTGACACTTGTACATAGATGATATATGACTCATAGATATATGTAAATATATGTAAGCATTGTACATGCCACATCTGTATATATGTTAATGCTTTACAGATTTTTATGTCTATAGACATGCATACATGCATGATAGACCTGTACATTTCTGTATAATATTTTCTCTGTATATATGTGTAGTATATTATATGCATATATAATATATAATTATACAACATACACATATATATTATATATGTGTATGTTGTATAATCATAAAGAGAACATCATTCAAATGTAAATGCGTCACAAACTTTTCTGGATACATATAGTCTTAAGTGTAATATAATAACAATCACATGTGAATAATTGATGATATTATGTGTAATGTATGCAGTGCACATGTAGTCGATTATGTTTGTATGTAAAGCTATTGTTTATTGTACCTATATACGTGTATATTGTAAATACGTACACTGTATACATACATTCATATTGTACCTATTCAAACTTCGCCAAAAATGTCGGTCCCTTGCGAAGTGTAGCATGAGTTTGCTATTTATTCTGCAGTGTTCTTTGTTGTTCCATGTTTAAAACGTATATGTTTTTCTGTAATTATCGCTGACGAAGCTTGGGCCCAATCTTATAAAGGTTGTGCTACCAAATGGCGTACTATCATTCCACCCCACTCTATTTACGGCACCCTATTCACGCAATCTTATAAAGAGATTAGTATGGTAATTCTATTCACCCATTTTGCCCACAGTACAAATCAACGCCAGCAGGAAACACGCAACGTGATTGGTCAATGTCTTGTCGCCGTCGCTATTGGAAATTATGCGTACTGTTTGCGAACAGCAAAAGTTATGTGTTTTAATTTTTATGGGGCATTTATTTCTTTTAGAGACACACATATGTGTAATAAATAAAACATTTATGGAAAACGTGATAGCAAAGTATGGAAAACACCAACATGCTTGAAGAATTCTCCTGAAAAGTGGATTGCCGACCAAATAAATTTCAGCGAGGGCATTCTCGCGCTCAGAAAATCGAGTGAATAAAGTGTTTCTTCAACTTATTATTTGCATTTATTTGCTGTTAAGGCGTTGCAATAAATTTGTTAAAGAATTATTTAAATAATCATTTAATTATAGCTCGGCTACTCTTTCAGTAATTGAAGTAACGCCGTTGACAATGAAGCTCCTACAATTTGAGCATCAGGATACGTGCATTAACTGGATCAATTCAAGATAGGTTTAGCTTATTTTCCTTCTTGTCATAAGCTCTTGAAATTTTCCTTCTTGAAGATAAAGCTACTAAAATTCGAAGATTACGTACATGAACTGAATTAGGTCAAGTTACAGCTTATTTTCCTTCTTATTCAAGCATAGGTACCTATTACCTAGCCTAAAGCTAAAAAGCAATTCCTCAAAAGATTGAAGTACCCAGTCTACATATCAAAGCTATATCAAGAAAAATACTTGGCTCAGAAGTCAGATCGAGATGCAGGAGGAGAAACAACAGATTGATCACTGATCAGTAACTGTGTCAAACAGAGGAAATACGAATAGTGAGTAAGCATTTATAAATTTTTGACAAACTAAGGTATATCATCATTAATTTAAATATCTAATCAGAAGCCATGAAGTGCCCGTTATTTGTGTCATACGTGAGACGTGAGAATAGGCTAAAGACCCATACCGATTCTATAATGCAGTGGCCTCCGAAAATCTAAGACGGTTACTGGTGCTAAAATCCTCTTGAAAATCCCTTTTAATTTGAAAAATAAAGCCATATAACAATGAACACTCGTTTTTATGTGTATTAGTGTGCATTTAGTTCCTGGAAATACATATTTTGAAATTGATCGTTGTCTGTATAATAAGCATCATTATAATAAATCATGAGTTAATATGTGGAGCATGTTTTAATGTTAGAAATATCACCAGTATAGCGCCTTTTGGGGCGACTAACGGAGCGAGCGAGGGGGTGAGTCTTGCACGTGCGAAATTTCGAGGGGTACCTCCAACTGACTTGTGCACGGCACCCTACTGACCGATCTCTAGCGATGTGCCAAATTTGAGCACAATCGGCCCAGCCGTTCTCGAGATCTGGAAGCGGCACCCTGCACGTGCGCACGTGCAAAATGGGTCCCAACTGACTTGTGCACGGCACCCTACTAACTGGTCCCTAACCGTGTACCAAATTTGAGCGGCATCGGTCCAGCCGTTCTCGAGATCTGGAAACGACCCCTGCACGTGCGCACGTGCAGCAGCACCCCAACTCTGGCACATGGATATGCAGTGCCTAGTAGGTGCCTACCTACATGCCAACTTTCAGCGCAATCGGCCAAGTAGTTACCGAGATATTGCAACAATTACTAAACTGGCACCTCTTCGTTTTGCACGTGGCACGTGCATAAGGGGTCACCCACATGCATCGAGGATAGTCTAATACTTGGTAGAAGGAATGAAGCTACCCTACAAAAATTACCGCATGTAAATCGGTCAAGTGGTTGCTGAGATATAAGCCTCGCAAAAGCGTCCGCACGGCCGGCCGGCCGCTCATACTCAGAAATTTCCGTTATTCTACGTAAGACTCCGCTCGCTTAGCTCGCTCCGGTGGCGGCTCCGGCCGCCACCGCCGCCCCAACAGCGCCCACCACTGCAGGCTCTCCAGTGTCGGCCGGAGCCACGGCGCCGGCTCGTCCTTCGCCATCGGCGACTGCTGCTGCTGAGTCGCCGCCATTGCCGCCACCCGAGCTGCAGGTGTTGGACGCCGCCAACTCATACTCGAAGCCGGGGCGGACCCGTGAGGACAAGGGTCGCGAGCTCCATGTTATCAGGAGGTCACAGGAGAGAGAGCCGGCCGGCGCCGTGGAACAGGTGCACCTTTCCGAGTTTTGCGTCCAGGAAGATCAGTCGCTCCGTCCCGTCGACCTGGTCGGCGACTCTACGTATCGGCTGGTGGGCGTCATCAGCCACTACGGCGGCACCGCGCACTCGGGACACTATGTGTCTGACGTGTACAGTGTAGGACGGGACATGTGGTTCCATTACGACGACCAGCGAGTCAGCTGCGTGGACGAGGCGTACGTCCTGAATGAAGGTCACCAACGGGACGGTTATACCTTCTTTTACCTCCACAAGGAGCTCTGCAGCCAGATAGTCAGGATGGAGGGTGGGGGACTGTAACTGCCGCACGGAGGATTGGCGCTTGAACGCCTCCTGACCGTGTCCGAGCGGGCATGTGTGTATGGGTTTGTGTGTGCGTGTGTGTGGATATGTACCGGAAATGTTTTGTATCACCTTTTTATCAAATGTAAAATATTGCATACTTATATCATAAAAACATGGAATTTATCTTAAATCAATTAAACTGTCTGAGAAGCTCGTCAAAGTACGCCACAAATTCTGGCGTGAAATGGACGCCGCTGAAACCGCAAACAGCTGATGATTGTCGGTGTTTTGAGATGTGCACAGCTGCTCACGGTTAAAATCATTTTACGGTATCCTGAAAACCGGCGGCTACCAATACCGTAAAGAGCGTGCCGTGTTTTCGATTTCACAGAGTTTTATAAGATTGCGTACTATAGGCCTGTACACATTCAGCTGTTGTGCTGTTGTCAGCCGAAATAGGCTCCACCCACCGTTTCTGGCTGACGGAGTTGTACACATTCGGCTGATGAGAAATTTCAGCAGTGGCTGACTGTCTACAAATGTGGCTTTGTAAACAAATATATCGTCTCATATTCATGTCCTTTATTAATACAATATTTTAATAGTTAGGTATTATATCAAAATATTTGCATATAATATGCAATGGAAATATTTAGTCTTCTTACTGATAAATAATTATGAAAACAAAATAACGTGAAAAGCGTCTATACAGTGTGGAATTTTCATTTATCTGCAGTACTTAGTAAAAATGTGGCACGTGATTTGTTTACATGCGCCACTACCAGTGTCTAAATGCGTCATTTATGGCTTCTGCTGACGGCTTGGCATCTCTGCACTTGCTTTCTCCTGGCAGCACAGCTCGTCAGCCTATGCTGCCGTCAGCAGAGAGATGACGTCATGTTGCAAGTGCAACATGACGTCATTAATTTTTCAGCCAATAAGGTGAACGTTTCTCAGCTGACAACAGCACAACAGCTGAATGTGTACAGGCCTAATATATCCAGCCTTAGAGTGCTGCCATATCCATTTCACGGCGTTTATAAGATTGGGCCCGGAGCGAAATATTCGATAACCTTAAATATAACCTTTTGGCTCCTATTTCTGATTTATATTATGAGGTTACTGGTTATTCTTATATTATTATTATTCATAGGCGTAGGAACAGGGGGGGGCCAGGTGGGCAAGTGCCCACCCACTTTTCGAGGTGGGGGGGCCAACCATGTGTTTTGGCCCACCCACTTTTTACTCGAGGCCCCTCGTTTCGATTTGAGAGGACGTCGTCACCTTCCAGAATAAACAAACTCGGTAAAAATAAGTTCCACGAATCCCCACGCACGGACTCCAAGGGGCCGTGATGGATCCAAGGAGGCCCTCTGTTCATACTTGTCAGTCGAAGCCCCTGAGACTGATGGCCTGAGAGGCCCTAGTGGATCTGAGGAGGCCCCAATATCCACACTGGTCTGGGGAGGCCCCTGACACTGGCGGTCTGGGAGGCCCCTCTATCCCTCTATCCACACTAGTCAGAGGTCTGAGACTGGTGGTCTGGGAGGCCCCTCCATCCACACTAGTCAGAATAGGCCCCTGACACTGGCGTTCTAGCTGAGGCCCCCTACCCTCACTAGCCAGAGGAGGCCCCTCTATCCTCAATAGTCAGAAGAGGCCCCTGAGACTGATGGTCTGGGAGGCCTATCCATCTACACTGTAGTCTGTAGTCAGAGGAGGCCCCTGAGACTGATGACCTGAGAGGCCCTTATAATCACAGCAGGCAGAAGAGGCCCATGAGACTGATGGACTGAGAGGCCCTTCTATTCATACTGGCCACAGGAAACCCCCAAAACTTTCGGTCTGGGCGGTCCCTCAATCCGGCACCAGTCAGAAGAGTCCCCTGAGACTGATGGTATGAGAGGCCCTCATATTAACACCAGTCAGAAGAGGCCCCCGAGGCTGATGGCTGTGACTTGTGAAGCCCTTCTGTTCATATAACTGGTCACTGGAGGCCCCTGAAACCGGTGGTCTGGGAGGGCCCTCTATCCAAACTAGTCAGAAGAGGCCCCTGAGACCGATGGTCTGAGAGGCTCTTATATTCATACTGGCCACAAGAGGCCCCTGAGACTGATAGTCAGAGAGCTCCACTACTAATGAAACTGAGGGGGCCCTCTATACACATTTACACTTTTCTAGGGAGGCCCCCGAAACTGATGGTCTGAGAGGCCCTTTTATTTATACTGTCCACAGGAGCCCCCTGAGAGTAATGGTCTGAGAGGCTCTTCTATTTATACTTACCAGAAGAGGCCCCTAGGATTGATGGTCTAACAGGCCCTTCTATTTATACTAGCCAGAGGAGGCCCATGAGACTGATTGTCTGAGAGGCCCTTCTATTCAAACTAGGCAGATGAGGCCCCTGAGAATGATAGTCCGAAGAGCCATGCGGCGGCAACTGGCCGTGGCCATATTTCGGCTCGGTAGGGCCCCCACAGAGCTCATGAGAGCACCCCAAGGGCTCCTGAGTAGACACGCTTATCCCCATAAGGGTGCCACGCCGGCTTCTGAAGGCTCCTTGTAGGCATCTAAGGGCCCTTTCCGGCCTCTAACGACTCCACCCGCCTGTGATGGCTCCACACCAGTGTTTATGAGCGCCACACAGCGGCGCCTTTGAGGGTCATAGTTAGTGTCTCTTAGGGCCCTATATCGGTGGCTCTGGGGGCCCCACACCGGCGCCTCTGTGGGCCACCACACCTGTGCATCTCAAGGCTCTATAGGTACAGCCCACCGCTAAAGTAATGTGTGGTTTTACCAATCTCAACGGATGGCTTTGACCGACGATTTTTAAATGCGGACTTATTGTCAATAGATACGTCAATAGACGTCAATAGATAGAGACGTCAATAGATAAAGTTGTAGCTGCAAGGGTGAATATACATGTAAGCTACATTTAAAGTCTCATTGCAGTCTGGCTAATCGTTCCTAGGCTTCAGAAGCAGAACATACCCATGACTGAAACCACACATTACTTCTGCTGTGGACTGTACATCTGAAGGACCCACACCGACACCTCTGAGGGCCCCACACCAGTATCTCGGAGCTCTGAAGGCCACACACCGGTGACTCTGAGGACTCACCGGCTCCTGAGAGCACCATGTTGATGTCTAACGGCTCCACAAGGCCACTGAAGGCACCACACAGGCTCTCACTGAGCTCTAATGTCCATGTACCGGCCTCTGAGGGATTGAAGCCAGCGCATTCATAGCTCCACACCAGCAATTGTAAGGGCTTCACACTGAAGTATCTGAGAGTTCCACACCGGTGTCTCTAAGGGCCACATACCGGCATCTCTGAGGGCCCCATACCGGCGTCTCCAAGGGTCCACATCTGGCGGGCACCCATCAGCGACTGAAGGTCCCACACTGTCGACTCCGAGAGCCCCATCGGCGTCTGGGAGCAACATGCCGTCTCTAAGAACCATAGCGGCTCCTCCGTCGAAAGATGGGCGTCTGCATGCCAAAGGGGAGCGGTTCTGAGACAGTAGGGCACCTACGTGCAATAGAGGGGCGCCTATGAAGCCCTAAGCTAGGGGCGCCTCAATGCGAAAGAGGGGTGCCTCTGAGGCCTACATATATGGGCGTCCACATGCAATAGAGGTCTGCAAGACTGCAATTGATCAATGCCATGGGGGTGCATTCATAAGGAACAGGGGCGCCGGCATGGCAAAGAGAGGCGCCTTTAAGTGTCCATAAAAGAGAGATGCCTATGATAAGCGCACATTGTATGCGACAACGGGGCGACTGTGGGACATATAGGGATGTCTCACTCTCTGATGACTCGTATACATAGGGCGCTTATAGGTATGCCAAAGAGGGCGCCTATGAAGCTAATGGGGGCACCTGGGAAATGAGGAAGACATTTGTGTAAGGGTTTTCAGGGGTCATGCGCCGTTTGCGGCAAATAGATTCTAAAAAAAATCGGAGGGGGAATAAGTTTTAAAAATGGTGCGGACTTTCCGCACTGTTCGCTTAAGCGGTTACGCCCCTGGGTACATCTGCCCGATCTCAGAAGCTAGATTTGGAGGTCATGCTTGAAAGCAGCCAGCAGGACGAGGCAAAAGTTGGAGGCCCCTGAAAATAGGAGGCCCCCTGGAAAAGGAGGCCCCTTGACAGGGTGGCCCACCCACTTTTCATGACGTTCCTACGCCCGTGTTATTATTGGACGCCATTTAATTGCGTCCCAGAAAAGCTATTTCTGGCACCTAAAAGCTGACTCGCCCCAAAATTGGTCCTCAGCACCTATTTGGTGGATACCAGCACCAATCATGGAAAATGACCTTAATTAGCTGTTTCTGGCACCTATTCATCGGTACGCCTTACTCTTTTTTCTGAATCTGGCACCTAAATGCTGAGCGTAGCACCAATCTAGTAGAAAAATGAACTACTGGCTGGTAGAATCATGTTGTTCTGGTATAATGACCCCTGGAGTCTAGCCTAAAGGTTGCCAGTGCAGCTACACTCTAAGACAGCCCCGTAGTGATCTCAGCATTCTATATGACGTTTAAGTAAGCAAATAATATTGATTTGTTTGAAAAAACAATGTCATTTAAATATTTAAAAGTATTTATTTGTAATGCTTAAAGGGAAACATTTTTTGTGAGTAATTGTCTCGATTTTGACCATTAAAACGGGTATTGTATTTTTTGACGTCATCAAATAGCTCCAAAAAAAGAAATGTAATGTTTTCATTCCGTTCAAGGCCGCTGAAGAAACGCGGGATCTTGCGTGGGACATTGTCCGTTGTTTGCCGCGCAGAGTTGTGCCGTGGTTGTGCCTTTTTCATCCGTTTCTTACTTATGTCATATGTGTGCATGAAGCTTTGATTTTGTTTTTGGTTATTGTGTGGCCGGTCAGTCAAACGCCCCTGTAGAAACCGGATGCTGCGTTTGATCGAGATCAAGATGGAGTCAGACGATGATTGCAGAAAGCTAATAATATTGAAAAGAG